TATTGTTTGGGATTACCGTATTTTAGGGCCATTGGAACGGCCAGATGCCGCCAGCCGTCCCGGAAACGCCAGCGCTTTATATAGAGTCCCGGGAAAGCTTTGAGTTCCCAGCTGTATTTTTCTTTCCTAGTCACACCTCCACTTTACAGATAAGGAAACTGAGGACCGGAACTATGATGTGTTACCGTGCACAGCGCTTCAGTCTTCACGCATCTTCCCTTTGGGTCCTCCAAGGACTCTGTGGGGGTACAGACGGCGCCTTTTAAACCGAGACTAAGGCAGAGCTTGGACCAGAGCCCAAGTTCCTTGACTCCTAGTACAGTGCTCCTCCGGATCATCTCTGCAGAAGGATGGAAGTTCCAGGGCTGACAAGGGCCTTACGAGGTCACCTGTCCCAACCCCTTCATTTTATAGGAAGAAACTGAGGCCCAGAGAGGTTAAGGGACTCGCCCAGTCCCACAGCTCGTAAATAGTACAGCCTGGCGTTCGTACTCTAAGGCCTGTGCTCTTTATCCCGCACCTCGCCCCACCCGGCTCAGTGGGCGGGAAGCCTTAGAGTCCCAACTACTTGCTCCTTGAACTTCACTCCAAAACAGCTGAAGACAACGTTGGGCCACACCCTCTCCCAGGCCTCCCTCCTTCCCTGTTATTATTATTTTTTTTAAACTCGCAACAGTCTGTCGTTTGTTTATAATGCCCTATTGCTTCTAGGAGATGCGTCCGAAATTGTCCGGCATAAAGGGCGGCCAGAATGTCGACTGGTTAAAATTCGTTTTTCAGCTTACCCCTAATAAATTAATTGTAGGGCCCCAAAATAAAATAGATGGGGGGGGGGAGCAGTGGGCAGCCAGCCACTGAGGGAAGAATAGGCAGGCCAGTCCCGCCCAGAGGCGCCCCGCCAAAGCCAGGCCGCAGGGCGGCGCGGGTACCCTGCGTGCCCAAGGCGCCCGCTGCAATGGGCGGCGCCGCAGAGGGCGCCGACGACTACGCGTAGCCGCGCCCTCCCTTCGAGCCGCTCTGCGCGCCCGGCTCCCGGCCTGGCGGTGGCGCCGCACTGAACTGCCCGTCTCGCTCTTCAGGACTGTGATTATTTTTTGAAACCCGGCGCCGAGACCCGCGCGGCAGCTCTCGGGTGCCCCGCCCCGCGCCCCTTTCCAGGGCGGCGTGTGTGTGTGTGTGTGTGTGTGTGTGTGTGTGTGTGTGTGTGTGTGTGTGTGGAGGGGGGGTGGGGGGAGCCCGCGGCGCGCTTGGGAGCGGGCGAGGGAATCCCTCTCCCTCCACGTCACGCGAAAGCGAGGGAACCCGCACTCGCGTCCTCTAACGCAAATGACCATCTTTGGCAACATGCGCCAATGGAACAGACCAAGGGCGCTGGGCCTGGGGGGTGAGCGGGGACAGGCCAAAGCTGCCGTGGCTCCCCCAGAGCGCGCCAGCCGGCCGCTCCCACTCGAGCCACAGCCTTCCTTCCTCGTGCGGGGTGCGCGGCTGGCGTCAGCGCGGCCGGGAGACGGGGCCGGGAGGAGAGCGCCGCGCCCGCCTCCTCCCGCGCCGCCCCCTCCGCCTCCTCGCCTCCCCGCGCGCTCCTCCCTGAGGTGGAGTCTGGGTTGACGTGAGTGAATCCACATGGTACAGGGGCTGGAGAATAAAGAGTGTGGAGTTGAACTCGTGCCATTGTAGTGACTCATCTCGGGCAGAGCGCAGGGGCTCCGAGCGAACCAGCGAGCAAGCGAGCGGCGCTCGGCGGGGACAGAGAGGGAGAGAGAGAGAGGAGCCTGCGGGCGAAGCCGGCCCGTCCGAGAGCGGGCGCCGGGGAAGGGCTGCAGGTCCGGGCGCCAGAACCGCGACACGGGGAGCGGGGCCGCGTCCCTCTCAGCGCCTGTTCAGCTTGAACTCCACGGGCTGCGAGACGGGCGCAGGCTGCCTTCTCCGAGTCAAGTGTCCGAGCCGCTCCGAAACTCCGGAGGCGCATCGGCCACAGGAAGTTTATTCTCAGCTCCTTTTCTGAAAGGAGGAAATAGAAGTTTCTCCAAGCGGGCAGTCTTTCTTTTCGACTTTTTTATTGCCCTGCTTGAAATCGGGGACCCCAGACGGGGCAAGCGTGACTCGCCGGGCTCCCATTCTTTTTTTAATTTCCCATTTTTGATTGGGCCGGCGGTCCCGGCGGAGCTCGGACTGCGCGCGGGGGCGGGAGAGCGCGCGCAGGGGAGGGACGGAGGGACGCGCCGACTTTTTAGTGGGAGGGACTGGGTGGACAGCCGGTCCCGCGGTGCTCGCAGAGCAGGGAAGAAGTGCAGCGCGAGGCGCTCAGGGGCTGCTGTCGCCGGGTCTCGCCGCCTCCTGTCCGCGCCCGCCGCCGTGGGGGAGAAGCCCGGGAGCAGAGACTGAAGCCCAGACCCGGCCCGCAGGGAGCGTGCGCGCAGCAGCCGGTGCGCGGCCGCAGCGAGGGCGGGGGAAGAAAAACACCCTGTTTCCTCTCGGGCCCCCACCTCGGATCATGTACCAGGATTATCCCGGGAACTTTGACACCTCGTCCCGGGGCAGCAGCGGCTCTCCTGCGCACGCCGAGTCCTACTCCAGCGGCGGCGGCGGCCAGCAGGTAAGTGCGGGCCCCGGATGCACCTGGCGGCGTGGACGGCTTCCCTCCCTCCTCTCGCCGCCACCGCCTCTTTTGCTTTCTTTTCCCTTTCTTGGTTTGGTGAGAAATGTCTTACGGGCCACCATTCTAAGTTCTAGATTTTCTTGTCCTGCCCCCCCGCCCCCCATCACTACCTTTAAAAAACAAAACAAAAAAAAACTGGAGCGGGGAGTGGGCTTGAAAGCCAACAAACCCTTTCCTTCACTACATCTTATCCAGGCAAGCTCCTTGAACAGCAAGCCTGTTACCTTTTCTCCCAGGAATTATGCGCCCCCTTTCCCGCTCTAAGTGGTGGGCCCCCCCAAAAAAAATCTTCGCACCCACTGGCCTCTCCTAATATCCTGCCTGCCCCACACCCCTATTTCTGCGAGAAAGCCCTCTCCCTCTTTTTCCCCCGTTCCTCGCAGTCAGTTAGTTTCTGAGGGGTTAGGGACTCGAAAACACGGTTAGGCTCCTTCAAGTAATCCGGAGCGAGGGTGAGGGTGGCTGCTCTGGCAATCAGGTGCGAAGGTCAAGGAGGAGGAGGTCAGACTTGATTGACCTCGGGTGGCGCCCATGCATCCTGGGCCCATCCATCTCCTGTTAGGGTGGGAGCAGGAGCTTGCACCGCCGCCAGAAGGGGTGCCTGGAGGGTCTGGGAGTACCTGGGGCAAGGATACCTACAGAGAGAAGTGGAGGGAAGAGACCTCACTTAGGCTCCTGGGTGGTTCTGGAAACAGAAAAACAACTTGTTTCTAAAGCAGCAGGACTGGTTTGCACTGGAGGGATTGTGCATGCATCTGTGTGTCTGGTAAATACCACAAAGGTCCTGGTGGGGTGCCTCCCCTCCTCAGCTGCCCCCGACCTCCACCCCCAGGCTTGTTAGGGAGCTGGCTTAATACACAAGGCCACTACAACCTGAAGCCGGCAGCAGTCAGGATCTGCGGAGTCTAGCCAAATTGGCTGCAGCAAAAAGTTGCTCCGGTAAGGCGGTGGCCTTGGCCTCTAAAAGCCAGCCAGCCAGAGGGGTTGGGGTGGGCTTCCAGGGAAGGATGGACCCTGCGGGAGAATAAAATGGAAACACAGTTCTCTTTGGGATCTGAAGCACCTTGTTCCAAAGTGATTCTGCATACCTGGTGAGTCCCCAAAATGACTTTTCTGTGTCTTCCTCTATCTTCTCTGGTGTCCCCATAAGCACCCACTGTAGACAACCTAGTCTGAGCATGGAGGGTGCAGTCAGTGCACACTTAATAATGAGCACCAAGGTGATGAGTGTCAAATTTTTTCATAAAAATGTTGGATTTGTTTGCCTTCCAGCCCCGTTGGTAGTTTGTATTGAATCCAAACATCACTAGGCAAGGGGCTGGAGTCATTTTTACCCATTCTCTCACTCTCTAATTCAGCAAATTCCCTAACGTCCCTCCCCTCTCCAAATCAGGAAGGGATCTTTTGATTTTTTTGTCTGTTCTTTGGCTGCAGTTTCTGTGACAGTTACTGAAATACGACAGTCTTGCCGCCTGGCTTTGCTCAGACCCTGGGGCCTGGATGGGAAGTCAGACCGGACATCAGTGCCCCAATTGAATAATCTGTGTCACTAGGGCTTTGAGCCCAGGATGTGAGTGGAGGCAATTCCCTGTTTTGGAAGAAAATCAGACAGGAAACCAGTGCTAGGAAGAAGGAAGAGAACTCAGTCCAGCAGAGTGTAATGGGGCCTCATTACCGAAGCAAAAAGCAGCTGTTGGCTAATTCCTAGCATGCTGTAACACATGAGGATTTTGCAATTAGTATTAACTAGTGCATGGGGTTCTCGAATATACGCCCGCCCCTTTGGCCCAGCAGCTTGAGTGAGGCGCCTTTCAAACCAGAGGGATTGGCAAGGTACTACCACTTTAGACAAGTTCCTCAGCCTGTCCACTCTTGAGGGGAGGGGTGGGAGGAGGGGGGAGGGTGTTTCCATCACCTCTCCACCTTTGAGCAAAGCGCTCCTGTGGTCCTAAGGACTGACTTTTGTTACTTCACCAGCCTGTGCTATGACCCCACCTAGTCTTGGGCTCAAGGTAACTTTATTACATACCAGATAAAACCTATAATCACTTTATTTTTCTCAGCTTCCTTTACGGGGAGACTTTCCTGGCAGTTAGTGATGGGCCTTCCTCCTTTATGGCATCTCGATGGACCAATCAGTGTAAGAGTCCTCTGGTTTTTGCTTGGGCAAGTGAATATTATTTTTTCCTGATCTCTTTATGGGGGGTCTAAGATTCCTGATGTTTGCTGCGGTTTACTCAACCCAGAACTTTCCTCTTCTCTCGAGCTTGGTAAAGCTTGGTCTTAACACATGGCCATAAGTTCCAGAGACTGGGGCGGGGGGGCGGGGCGGGGGGGGCAGATAACTCTTTGTTAAAACCTCTGTTCTGGTGTATGGCAGGAACTTGAAGCATGAGAAATATTTCCTGTTCCAGTTATAGTTTTAATCTCAAAGGTTGGTCATTGGTGATTTTGTTTTGTCAGTAATCATTGCAGACACCTCCCCTCCTGGCCTTTTCTTTGTGTTGTTGCTGTTTTCTGTCTTTCTCTCTCCTGACTCTCCTAGGAAAACACCTCCCAGATATATGCCCTGCCTGGCTGTTCCACTGTTACGGTTTCAGGGCCTGAGCATTACGCAATCCAGCCAGTTACACAAACACAGGTCATTTCATAACTTGTTTTCATCAGCTGGGCCCCCCTTGAATGAAAACAAAACAAAACAAAACATAAACAAGACTCAGAAGTTTTACAAGGCTGCCATTTGTCTGTTCCTTAGATAACTTGTGAAAATAAATCAAGAGGACAGTTCCTTTTTGGAGTTAAGGAATACCAGACTACCTCTCTTCTTTGGCAACCCTCCTTTCCCAAGAGACAGACAGACAGAGACAGACAGACACACACACACACACACACACACACATGCACACATGCACACACGCACACACGCACACAATTTCCCGGAGTGAACTTTTGCCAACTGTACCAGGCTGGGACATTCCTCACATCAAAGAACTTTTACCAGAAATGACTGTGATTCCCAAAGCCAGCCTCAATTATACCTCTCTAGTGCCCCCTACAGGACATTCTGAGAAGAACCATCTGGGGAATGTATTTTTCCAGCCCCAGAGAGTGTTAACTTGGTGAGTTTTCAGAATTCTTAGGATTTTTTTCTTTTTACTTCTGGACAAATAAATGCCATAGATTTAACAGCAGTCAACTAGAAACTGCTTGACTTTGAGATGCAGTTTTTAAAACATTTGTCTTTTGTTCTAAATAAAACCTGGTTGAAAAAGGAGTGTCTTTTTTTCTTTTCCTATTTTGATGTCTGTCTGTTCGTTAGGGTGCCAGCACAGTATCTTCAAGTTCCCAAGGCTTGCTTTGTTGATGTGTTTCTGTTAGAATACGGGGAATTGTTTTGGTGGGGGGTGGTCTTCAGAGTTGGTGGGAAAGTGGAAGGTGTGTATTAAGGGTCTGGGGTTTTTTTGTTTTTGTTTTTGCCTTGATCTCACAGATGTCGTAGATTAGGATCAAACAAAATGTTTTCCGAGGAATTTGTCTGTTCCGCTGATTCTTGATGGTGGAAGTCAGCGTCACTTTTTCATCAAAGTGAATGGGGTGAAACTGCAGTCATGTATTGTCTGAATAGCAATCGAATTTTCCTCTCCAAATGGAGTGCATTTGCATTCCTTTATTTCTGCCTGCCTTATTTATTATTCAAGGTGAGTGTAAAGTTAGGAGCCTCATTTTTTTTTCTTTTCCTGTCTTAATACAAACACCAGAACTTAACATCAATTACTGTTGCCCCTTTATAACTGTTCCTTGAGGAGACTAATTACTTATTTGAATCCTGTGGCTGTTTGTCAGATTCAGAAAGGTTTTACAGTGCCTCTCTTTTGGAAATCCTCCCTACTAACAAATCCTTGTCCTTTGCGGGTGAATTTAAGATTTGTACATTATCAAAAGATTTGACATATAAGGAACCAAGTCTGACATATAAGGTCTGGATGATTAGGTTGGGTCCAAAGCAGAGTGTGACCCCAAGTCCTGTTGGTCTCAATCTCAGGAGTCTGCCCGGGAGGGCAGTCACCAGGACAAGGCAACCAAAGCAGGCACCTTTTCCATCTAAACCTTAGGGTTTTATTCAACTCTATTAAACAGGAATAAAGATACTGGCTTTGAGAATTCAGGAAACAAACTTTCTGGTCTACTTGTTGAAAGAAAAAAAAATAGCATCGTCACTTGGTGGACATGTCTCATTCATGTTGTATGTGGTATCTTTTGGTGGCCACACCATTTCAAAATGATGGCAGCTGCCCCGAATGAGGCAAATATATCTGTTCCAAACCCCACTTGGTAACTCTATTCCTCTTCAACTCACAGGGCTGGAGAGGGAAGATAGAAGAATTCTCTTGCCCAGCACTGTCTCTCAACCTGTCACGTGGCCGTGGCTTGGCCATGCTCGCCCTGCTGCGGTTGTAGGAAAGATGAGATGCCCTTCCCACTGAGTGCGCATATGTCTGGGGATTGGTGGGGGTACAAAAGGGGTCTGCAGAATAGTGGAGAGAATTCCCCTGTGCTTTGGAGTGGGGTTTCTGGCAAAAAGGACTCTGGAAGGAAAGAAACAGGAACCTGAGTGAATAGCTCGGTTATTGGCCACTTTTCTTCTTTTCCTTGCTTTTTCTTTTCTTTCCTGCTTTTCTTCACCCTGGCAGCTTGGTGAAAAAGAAGAGCATGGTTCTTTCAAGTGAACCTGGGGAAAAGAGGACGTTGACAGGAGGCAGGTTAACTGAGGTAGTATTTGTATACTGTAAAATTGGGGGAAATAGTGAGTTATTAGCACCCATTTCCATTGTGACCAAGTGGTTTTCCTCAGATAGGAATGAAAGGTCAAAGTGATGTCCAATGCAGAATCTAGAAGGCTTTGGAGAACATCCCGAGTTCAGTAAAAATATAGAACATTTGAGCCAAACTGGGCCTCACCAGGGGGGTTCTGGGGGGCATGAGGGAGCATTTGCACTTACCCTCTCCTCTACCTGATCCTATTTCAGTGCTGGGAATCTAAAAAAAGGGGTTCTTAAGAGAAGGAACCCAGTCCCTTTCCAAACACGCACAATCACACCTTGCTGCCTGTGGAAGCAGGTCAAAGGTATTCATAGTATTCATGGCTTGAGTGCTTGGAGGCTCAGTCGAGAAGTGATCTGGTAGAGGAATACCTGGCCGAGGGGATGGGCCAAGAACTCCATCTCAGATGCCATTTCTGCCCGCCTCAGGAGTCTCTGGGGTAAGGCCTGCCCCATCCCTCTCTAGGAAATGGGAGCCCAAACCCTCGTTCCAAGACCCTTTTGCAGAAGGCCGTGGTTATAACCCTCATTTTTGAATCCAAGGCCCTTGTGCAGAGTTCAGAAAGGTCATTTTCCCAAACCAGCAACTGGTGGGCTGCAGGGACCTCTCTGATCTGATGAAGATGGGTGGTCCTAGGGACCCAGTGTTCTGAGCTGTCTCTTATAGGCAATGAGAGGACACACATACTTACTGAGCAGCCCATGGCACCCTCAGATACAGGGTGCAGCGGCGTAAAGGAGGTTCTAGTGCCCAGAGGCTTGTAAGGGTTCACACCTCAGCTTCAGGGTCTGGAGATTTACGCCGACCAGTGATAGCCCATCCCCTTGACTCCTTGGGTTAGAGGACTACCTCAGGTCTGACTTTTGCTTTCTTGTTTTCTCTCTTTAATCTCCCCTGCCCCCATCCTGAGCACAGGAAATGAGAATGATCCTCCAGGACAGAAGTCACCCAGCTATGGCCTCACTATTTTTGTAAATAAGGTTTAATGGAACCCCGGGCCCCGCCTATTTGCGTATCGTCTGTGGCTGCTTTCACACTACAATGGCAGACTTGAGTAGTTGCCACAGTGCGGCCCACAAAGCCTAAAATATTTACCGTCTGGCCTTTTACAGCAAAAGTTTGCCAAACTTCGCTCTAAGAGGTCGGTGGGGGGCCAATTTGCCCTTTTATAGGCATTCTTGCCCACCCAGAAGTTGACAGGATAGCAGAGTTACAGCATTTGGAGGCTTTGCCAGGTTGGGATGCCACAGAGCCATCTCACATCTTTGATCCTGTCCCTAGAGAAGGAGCTCCCAAGGGAGCTGGAGGGCCCCAGGAGAGTCACATGAGGTCCTGGGCTACCTCCTCTACCCCCCCCACCCCCACCCCCAGCATACACCTTTGCTGCAGCCTAACTGCCTCAATGCCAGCAACTGGGAAACCCTCTCTTAGTTTCTGTTCACTGGTAACCCGTTCATAGAGAACCATGATATATCCCCAGCATGACATTTGACTGATTCTTGGGTCTGTTGGCATAGAAGAAAGCCAGGCTAACTCCTGGGACCACAAACTCCTAGCCTCACCTCTTCTCTCCTACACCAGTGTGGCTTTCGGAATAGTATCTGTGGAGGTGAGCCAAGACACATCTGACAGATCTCACTTCAACTTGTGTGTGTGTGTGTGTCTCACAGAGGCTCCTCTTGAAGACAAAAGCCTTCTTTATCAGAACCCCAGTCCCCCCTGGGGATGGGACTTTGTTTTCCTTGCCATTGAGAGCCAGTGTATTATCCAGATGGCTTTACCTCCCTCTGAAACAGGGAGGTACGTGCATTTAGAGGTGGTCATTACCTACTGCCTTGCTTTTATTGCTGTCTTGTTTTGTCTAGACCAAGCCATTGCTGCAAGGAGTCTGGCTGGTGGCCGGGGGGCACTGTCCTGGTAGACCTATCACAGAGTGAACGGCTGGAGGGCCCTGAGAGGGGCCGAGAGTCATCCACTCATTCCTGAGGGATCTTAATGTCCAAGCTTTGCTTCAGGTTTTTCCTTGCTTCCCCTAGACTGAAATGGAGGCTCTTTTGTTGGTTGGAATGAGGAGTGAATTTCTTGGGTGCTTTCCTGGAAGGAAAGCTGACAGTTCCCCCACAGAGATGGAGGGTCACATTAAACCATCATGCTGGATGCCTCGAGTGTTCTTCAAACCCAAAACCTGAGTTGGGGAGAGAAATAAAAATGTTGGGTGCTTCCCAGGAGTGGGAAGCTGGCAATTGTCCCTGGAGCCACCCCATGCAGATTGCACAGACTCTTATAATGATGATGGTGGTGGTGATGGTGACGACAGTGCCACCTTCCATTTGTTTGGAGCAGCATTTCTCAACCCTGGCTGCACATTAGAATCTCCTCAGGTGTTTTATTTAAAAAAAAAAAAAAAGAAAGAAAAAAAAAGCCTTATCAGAACCCCACCCCAAACCAGTTATTTTGGGCCTCTAATGGGGAGGCTGGCTCCAGCATCGGTGTTTTAAAAAAAGCTCCTCAGACTATTCTAATGTGCAGGCAGGGTTGCAAGCCACTGGTGTGCTTTTATAGCCTATGATTACAAGTAGCTACTAATTTAATCCTCATGACAGTGCAGTGAGTTTGGTGTTAGTATTCCCCTTGACAGTCAAGGAAACTGAGTCCTCAGTAATTTGCCAAGGCCTCCAATCCAGGCCTCCTGACTCCAAGTGCAGTGCTGACTCTCTGCCCACCCGCTCTTGACACAGCCCCTCCATGCAGCCCCCCAAGAGAAACATGGCCGTCTGGGCCTTAGTGCTTCTGCACATGTTCTCAGTATTCTGCCTCCTCACAGCCTTGCCCAGTTGTCCGTTTTTTTCTCCTTGAAAATCATTTCCCTGTTGGATCCTTCCTTGTTCACTGTACCCTGCCCTTCTCTCTCTCTCTCTCTCTCTCTCTCACACACACACACACACACACACACACACACACACACACACACACACACACACATACACCCATATACAGTCAGCTTCTGATAAAAAATACCCAGCTGTCTTTGCCTTCTGAGGCGGCACCGAGTCCATTGCCCTGGGCAGCTCTCCTCACAGAATCCCAGGACCTATTGCACTGGTAGCTTCACAGGATCCCAGAATTCATTGCACTGGGTAGCATTCCTCATGGAATCCCAGAATCCATTGTGCCGGGTCACTCTCTTCACTGAATGCCTTTGGCCTGGAGCCCTGGGGCAGTCTAGGAGGTGAGACAGCCACATTCCACCACCAAGCCTGGGGTCAGGCAGCTGTCAGGGGAGTGAGCAGGTAGAGTCCTCAGCTCCAATGAGGTACTCAAAGCTTTACTTTGTTTATACAACAGGAACCTAGATGCCTGTCACTGGGGCAAAGACAGTGGTGGTGGCAGTTGCCATCGCTGCTAATACTTCTAATCCTGGTTGGTGTGATTAGGCCAGAATTGGGGGGAGTGCTATAGTATCCGCGGTAATGATAGTGAGATTCCATCTGGGGTCAAACAGACCTATGGGTCTGTAGGGCCCCTTGGCAGTGATGTCCTGACACTCTGTCTGAGGGCAGTGGGGGTGGGTACCAGCACTTGGGGCTAGATTTTGAGGAAGAGAGAAGCAATGCGACAGAAGCCTGTGTAGCACCGTGTGCGAGGGCTCTGGGCTCTTCGTCTGGCTCAACTGGGTTTGAATCTTGACCCCACTGCTTATTTGCACTGTGGCCTTGGATAAGTTAGTCTCTTGGAGCCTAAATTTCTGCCTCTAAAATGGAGATAATGATAGCTCGTACCTCAGCGGGAGAATGAATGAGGTAATCTAGGTAAAACACTACTACAGTGCCTGTCGTTCAGTAAATGCTCAGCACGTGTTGTTACTGTCATCCTTTTACCCACCAGATTAGGGAAGGGTTTATAGAACCATTTTGTGGAAACGAGTCACCTGAGGATGAGGGTTCCAATAGGGGAGCTTTGTCCTGAAAACCTGGAAGTGGGAGAGTCCTTCCTTTCTCCCTCCTTCTCCTACTTTCTAGTAGTAGCTGCCTTGAAGAAAGGTCAAGCCCAGCTGCCGAGGAGCACGACCCAGTTTAGCTTTTGTACTCTGTCATCATCCTATATTTTAAATAGAATGCTTCCTGCAGCGCGTTCCAGGGAGCTCTGCAGCGTGGTCTGGGCATAAATTCAGAGACAGACAATTCTGAGCTAGCAGCACCAAAGTTTCCCCCAGACACATCTGTGAACACAGACAGATAGATATGTAGACAGAGACACAGCATGTCTGCCCCAAGCAGGATGGGGGTGCAGGGCAAGGACTGCAAGGGGAAGGCTGGGAGCAAATGCGGCCCCTTTTCAGTCTCATGGGTTGGAGAACACCTTTTCATGGCCCTGGTCTCACCCTGATGAGGTCTCAGCCCTATCCTGAACCTCTTTGGAAAGTAACAAAAGCAGGCACCATAAGTTTCCTTGGTAATCTTTGTTGCTCCAGAGCTGTTGGTGTACAAATTTCCTCCAGGGATCCTGAGCTGGTGCCCTGGGGAATGATTGGCAGGTGACCCAAAGGCTCAGGAGGCCAGGTGGAAGCCTGCCGTCCTGCAGATGTGGACCTAGCTAGCCTGGAGGGATGCAGAGAGGGCCTGCTGAGTGTGAGTGGCTAGGGAGCACATCTGACTCAGAAGCCGTTTAGAATATGACCACATTCTCACTGAGCCCCAGGGTTTCCCAGGACCTCGTGCAGGGAGCCAACCTGACACGGGGCCTCAGGAATAGTTAAGATTCTCCTGATTCTTGGATGTGCAGGGCTTGTCCAGGGAAGCCCACCCAGTATCCTGACCTTGGTCCCCCGAGTGTTGACCCTGCTTTCTGCTGGTTTTTGCCTCCTGGCTCTGCTTGTCCTTGTTCTGCTCAGTAATTATTGGCTCAATCCTATTTTTCTCCTCATTTCAGAAATTCCGGGTAGATATGCCTGGCTCGGGCAGCGCCTTCATCCCCACCATCAACGCCATCACGACCAGCCAGGACCTGCAGTGGATGGTGCAGCCCACGGTGATCACCTCCATGTCCAACCCGTACCCCCGCTCGCACCCCTACAGCCCCCTGCCGGGCCTGGCCTCTGTCCCTGGGCACATGGCCCTCCCGAGACCTGGCGTGATCAAGACCATCGGCACCACCGTGGGACGCAGAAGGAGAGATGAGCAGGTACAGCTCAGATCCACATAAAAGAGCCCATCGGTGGCGTTCAGGGTCTCGTAACACGGGGTGTTTTTCTGCAGACCGGTGGGGAGCAGGGCCAACGTTCTGGGAACACTGGGAAGAAGAGGGAACTAGGGACCAGGAGCACATGGCGCTCGTCATTGGAGGCGGAGGTGGAGACCTGAGGGCCGGGCCTGGCTCTGGCACCTTACCCATGTCCCTCAGAATCTCTGAGTTTCAGTTTTCTCAGCCGCAAAATGGGGATTATGATAAAAAACAAGACTTGTTGCCACTCGAATGCAGTCATGTGTGGGAAAGCATATTGTAAGAGGTATGGCATCAGCAAATGGGAAGGCCTGGTGGGCCCTACCTGTAGCAGTGTCCTTCTCGGATCCTTGCCAGAGGGGCCACAGGACAAGCAGCTGGTGAACCCTGGCTGGGAGCTTTCTGGGATTCGCCCTTAACTGTCTCCTGGTATCTGGTGCAGACAGACCCCTAAAGGGTCACCCTCTAGGCCGGTACTGCCTGCGGTACTTCACATTCCTCCTTGGTGTCCCAGGCCTCCAACTCAAGTGCATGTTCCAGAAATGCAGTGACTCTGAGGTCCTTGGTGCCTGCTCAGCGGCTTTAGCTAACCAGGGGCGAGGGTGGGAGGTCAGATATCAGCCTTTGTTTTCCTCAAGGGGACCAGCTTTGAGAAGGAGTCGGCCTGGCTGGGAGGGACGCCAGAAAGTGGCGGGGCCTCTGATCTCTAGGCAGCATCCACCCAGCACTCAGAAGACCCATCGTCTGCATCAACAGTGAGCCAGAGCAACGATGGGCTCCCTGGTTCCGGAAGGAGACACTGAAATCACGCATGATTCCAGAAGGGAAGGAATGAGCCCTCGGCAAAGTGCCCCATCTGCCCCCCCCTTCACGGGTGACACAACTAAAGCCCAGACACACCTGCCTGGGGCCGCTCAGCAAGTGAGTGAGGAAGTCTGGACTAGAACCCAGCTCCCTGGACTCCCTGTACAGTGCTCTTCCTACAGCGCCATGCCACCATGAGTCCAGGGAAAGGGAAAAGACTTGAGCAGTGAAATCCCTTTTTCAAAGGAAACGTTAACCTAGAGAACTCCAGTTTCAGCATTGGAACCTCTCTCCATTTCATCCACTGTCCACCTCCACTCTGGGATGGCCAGCTTGACAATGTTCCAACACAAGGACCTTTAAACATGGTCCCCAGTGGATAATCGTGGATCCAGTGCCAATAGTGCCCAGGATACTTAGTTACAAGGATCGCTGTCCAAGGAACAGGAAGCTTTCACGGGGGCCCTGTTCCTCTGAAGACAAAGATGGGCCTTGTATCCACTGCATGTTGATTTGCCCTGTTAAAACAGCAGGACCCATGCAGGGTGACACGGGGAGGTGTGTGTAGTAGACGCTCTAGCAGATACAGCTCACGGTTGCTGTTGGGCATCTGCTGCTGGGGCAAGGAGCCAATATCCGCCTGTTGCTTTCCATAATCACAGTTGTAAATATTGCAGTAGTGGTGATCTTAGTGTCCTTTATAAATACGCTTCCTTCAGGGAGCCCAAGGTGCCAAGCTTTACAGTCACTGACGAGCAGGATTCTCCCTGTATGTGACTCGAGGGACAGCCAGGCTTGGGAGAGGGATTCTTTGGGGTTAGCAGGAGAACAAAGAAAGATGTGCTGAACACTCTTCATTCTTTTCTGGGCCTACCTCACACCAAATGTATAAGTTTATATCTGGAAGACACTTTGGAGACCAGCTCTTCTAATTTCCCCTTTGCACCCGTTTTAAAGATGAGGAAACTGAGGCTCAGAAAGGAGAAGGGCCCCTGGCCTGGGTCACACAGTGAGTTAGTAGCAGAGCCAGGACTGGAATCCACCGCCTTTGGCCTTCAGTTCTGTGGTTTTCCCACCACACACCTAGGCGTGCCCTGGGACAGTCTGTCTGGAAAATTTCCTTCCTTTTTTTGAGAGGGAAGGAGAGAGCCAGGAGCACTTTATTTCACGTCATTGTTAATTGGGAATTCAGACAATCATCTAGCAGCTTGGAGGAAGCCTGGGCAGCAGCATCCTAGAACTTTGGTTCTTTGGTGCCTAGCCCCAGGGACTTTTCCCTGAAGCTCACATCCGCCTTCCTGACCTCCACCCCCCAGGGGGAGGGGCCTGTTGCCAGAGCCAGCCTGGTGCCTCCCTGCTTACCTCCCGAGCCTGCCCCAAGGCTCCCTCTGAAGCCAGTGGCAGGGACTGAGGAGGCCGGGAGGGGAGGGTGTGTGTGGCTTGTGGGTGGGTACTCTTTGCTGCTGACACTCAAGCTGTAACCGTGTTGATGTCACCGCCCCTGAACACTTCCTATACCGACAGCTCTCACAAGTTGCCCACAGAGACTTCTAGGCCAATCGAGAGGCCAAAAGCTGTCCAGAAGCAGCCAAGGGGGAAGGGAGGCCAAAGTGGACCATGACCAGCCCTTTGTCAGTGGGGACGAGGGGGCTAGCTGGGCCTCACGGGGAGCCCTGAGCCCTGGCCAGTGGGGCCACCAGGCTCTTGGTGACTCTGCTGGGCTCAGGTTGAGACAGGTTGAGGAGCAGCAAGTATTCGGGGCCTCGGCCATATAGCCAGGCAGCCGGCCCCTGCCCAGAGCAGGGTGTCCGAGTCTGTGGACTCTGGGTCTCCAGTCCGCTTGTAGTCTTTCAGGACTCAGAAACAGTACCAGGGAGGAGACCTCTGAATTGCAGCTTCTTTCTAGCACTTTCTCCTTTAGAGAGAGCTGCCACACTGTGTCTCATCTGACCATCACAGACACTATGGAAGGCAGGGCAGGTCCTGCTAATGCCATTTCCAAGTGGAAAGCCTGAGGCTCAGAAGGTTCAGTGGTTTGTCCAGGGCCCCACAGAAATGCCGGATCTGTACTTTGCTCCCCCCAGTCAGCCTGAGACCTCTCAGAAGACAGCGTGGAGCCTTTGGCTGCCTCGGGGAGACAGAGGATTTCAGAGGCTGGGATGGAGGATGGGGTCTGAGGACTCAAGGGATGTTACTTGCCCGACTGCTTGGTGCATTCCACCTGGAGGCCGCTGCAAGCCATGAGGGACTCAGTGAGGGCGCAGCCAGTGAGAGAGGGAAACTGGGCCTGCTTCCTTCATTCCAGTGAGGCGGGGGCTGCAGAGGGCGTGAGGGAGCCCGGTCAGGATGTCTTGGGAGGGAAGGTGGTCCCCAAGGCAGACAAAGATGGGTGGGAGCCCAGCCCAGCGGAGGCCCTGGGAGGCAGGGATCTGAGGTATCAGGAGGTCTCCCCAGCCTGCCAGGCCTCCTGCCTCCCTCTGAGCCCCACGCCTGGGCTGCTAGAGGAGGATTTGAAAGTTGAGTAGGCACGGTGAGCTTCTCTGTGCTGGAAATGGCCTCGGAGACACTTCATGTCTGAGCAGTTGACTGGCACGTTTTCATGCCAGTATTTATGGAGAATTTAGATACAGGGCTCCAGCACGGTGGGGCCATAGGCTCGCCTCGGTGTAGACAGGGATGGCTTTGTCCTTTCTGATGCTGTGCCCTGCTTTGCTGTTCAGGACATCACAGCCATAGGCCAGCGGGGCAGTAGGGAGTGTCCTGGGGACTCTGACCTTGGCTCAGCCAGACGAGTGGCTCTAACCCTCACAGGGTGGCCAGAGCGTCCCTCAGTGGGGTAGCTTCCCTCATTGCCTTCACAAGTGGCTTTGGCTTTTTCCCCAAGGGTTCCTAGAGGGGGGGACCCAGATTTGCTTCCCCCCAGAGTCTCCTAGGCCCCTAGTCCTGCTCTTGGCACAAAGTAGATACGCCGTCAGTGTCTGATAACTGAATGGGATGGTCTTTCCTTTTGGATTGCTTTCTGCCTTGGCCCACAGCCATCTCTCCGTGTCACTGGGCACTGGGTCACAGCCCTGGAAGGGCTGTATGTAAACAGCCCTGCTGAGTGGAGCAGAGCTCTTGTGCTGTAGCGTGAGTCACAGTCCCCTAAGTAGCCTCACTGGAAGGACCTCGGCTGTGAGCTCTGCAGAGGGATGTTGGTTCACTTGGTTCTCTGATAACTCTCGAACCCCCCACACTGTGCCTGGCTCATTTGTCGAATGAGTGGATACGGTGGGCAGCAGGGTTCAGCGTGCCTGAGGGCGCCTTCCCCTTTGCCCCATCCTGTCCAGCCTAGGACGGTGTCAGGACACTGCTGGGTCCTCGGGGTTGAGCTGTGAGTACCTGGCACTCCAGGGCTGGCAGAGGAAAATGGACGTGGGGTGGCATCCATGACCCTCCTCCTGGCAACAGGACCTTCTGCCCCGGGTGGTTCTCACTCTGGGCCCAGCTACTTAACCAAATGGGGATAATGAGGCTTGCAGAGCAGGCAGAGTGCTGGGTAGGAGTAATTAGCCAGGGTTTGGAAGAAACTGCTTAAGTGGGTAGGGCCGGACCTAGCTGGCATGAGGGGACTCTCTGGGAGAAGTAGTCCCAGCGCCTTCTCTCTGGCCTTGGCACTGAATCAGAGCTGACATGACCAATGCTGCTGTCATCATGCCTGGGCCGGTCTGTCCCTGACCCATTGCTGCCCTGTTCTCCCTTCAAACACGGGGCGTCATGTCCGGGGACCTCTGAGTCCGGCCACACTCTTCTCGCCTTCCTCCCGTCCTTCCCCATTCCCAGAAGGACTTCCTGCCCTACTTAAAATGTGGTTAAAAAAAAAGAAATCCCAGAAAGCCGGTGAACCGTTTACCTGAACCTAATTATGATCTTCAACCTTGGCCTCTAGCTGTCCCCCGAAGAGGAGGAGAAGCGGCGAATCCGGAGGGAGAGGAACAAACTGGCGGCAGCCAAGTGCCGGAACCGACGCCGGGAGCTGACAGAGAAGCTGCAGGCGGTGAGGACCTCTGCGTGGGGTGGGGGCACTTCTGGGAGGGCCACAGCCTGAGCCCCAGGCCTCCTGGCTCTCCCACCCTCTCCTTGCCCACTAGTGGCCTACACATGAGTCGTTGGAGACAAACGTTCCTTCCTTTGAGCACATGGGTTAAAGAACAGAGAAGGCTGGACGGAGGGAGCTGGCCTTTGGCACCAGCCTGGGCACAGAGAGAGAACGGGACACTCTCATTGGGCCTAGCATGCTTTCTCACTCAGCGCTTTCTGCTCTCAGACCTGCTGGGTCTCCTGGGTGAGGGACGACAGAGCGTGGGGCACTGTGAGGCCCCAGGAGCCACTGCAGGCCCAGACCTGCCCCCTCCAGGGCTGCTTCCCAAGGTTCTAGCCATCCCCATTTCTGCCAGCAGGAGCGGCCCAGCCTAGCTTAGGCGATCTAGTTTGGACAGGAGACCTGCTGCCTGCCTGGGCTCCTTCATCTCGGCGGGGGTCTTGATACTTTCTGGGTCTTATGGAGATGGCGCACGTGCCAGCTGAGTTGTACTATCTTGAGGTTTTCTCGTATCCTTCACGGGCAGGAGGGTTTCCCGCCCCTGCCATGAGCCCGAAGCTGTGCCTTGGTACCTCATTCTGCCCTGGTGAGTCACTCTCCCCTGCTGCCTAATTGCCCACACCTGGGGGCCCGTGGCCCTGCCCTTCCCTCTACAAAGCTTGACCTGACCGACATCACGTAACTCCCTCCAGAGCCTAGCCCTGCGGGATGGGCCGTGTGCCGCGCAGAGGAAGCCCAGAGCCAGGACTGACTCTCCTCTGTGGAATGTTTTCAGAGGGAGATGAGGAAGACTGTCATGGTCCCTTACAGTGACCAGCCAGGAGGGGCTCTGGAAATCAGAAATGGCCTTGCACATCTCATCGCTTTATTTAATGCTCCCAGGTCCCATTCACCTGCTCCGGCTTCCCTTTGTCCCTCTTGGAGCCCTTGCTCTTGGGTACCGAATGGACACTGTGAATTCCGTGACGCTTGTACTAGTGTCCCACGGAAGCGTTAAAGTTGGGGAGGGTGAGTTGGAGTTCTCTGTTGCCAGGTGAGGTGAGTCCGTTGATGATGAGCACTCCATGGGGAGACTCACCCAGGAGAGCCCTCCTCACCACCAGCCTTTCGAGGACCCTGGCCCTCTGGGTCTGCCCTGGCGCCCTTACCAGCAGCCCCAGGAGAGCCCCGCCCTCCGAGGCCCCTCTGCTTTCCTCCCTCCCTCCCCCAGAAGCCTCACACCCTACTCCCCCGCCTCCCCACCCCCGGCCCAGCCACCCAGGCCCCTGAGCCACATCCTCCACAGGAAACCTCTCATAAGCTCATGACGTTCGTCAGACCCTTGAGACAGATGGAAACTTTTTTTTACTCCGGAATATGCTGTACTCCATTTACTGAAGCTCTGGCCCCGTACCATGTCATTCTTGACAGGAACCCGGCGTTAGGGGAAAAGTGGGGAGGAGGCTGGTGACACACACCTTCTCGCCTTCCACTGTGACCCCTTCCACGTGCATTTGCTGCTCCTCCGGCTTTGTGTGAAAGGAGGGGCCGAGGCCCTTGCTGTGGGACCCTGCCATCCTCACATGCCTGTTCAGGCTGCCAGGTCCCTCGTCCGTTAAGCTCAGCGGCTGAGCTGAATGCCTTCCAGGGTTCTGTGAGTCCTGAAACAGATAGTAGAGGGAGAAAGTGAAGCGGGACTGTGACCATCCAGCCAGGCCTGATTGAACAAGCCAGGCGCTGTCCGAGGCTGTGTCCGGACAGTCGCCACTGTCATGTAACATGGAGTTTAGTGTGTATGTGTCCGCAGGCAGGCAGGATGGGGTTGAGGAAGTCTGAGAAGGAGAGAGGGGCGGATCTATAGCTGTGTTCCCTTTCTCCTCCAAATCTCACAATTACTTACCCCTTTCAGGGGTCTCCAGGGGGTGGTCCTGCCACCCAAGCTGTAGGATATAGCAGCATATGGGCTACCCTACCTGCTGGCTCTGTGACTTTCCCCAAATTATTACACCTCTCCGAACCTCGGTTTCTTTATCTGCAAAATGGGTTGATGCTAATACCTGCTTCAAAAAACTGCTAGAGGATTGAAGGCAATAATGCCTACGACGCGCTTAACGCAGTGCCTGGCAGAAAGTAAACGCTCAGTCACAGCGGCTACAGCTGTGATTTCATCCCTCCTCCAAGCCGACTTGCCTCCTTGCTCAGTCCGGAGCCTCCGGGTGACTCAGCACCAGTGGGGCTGCGGCCAGGTATGTGAGCTGGCTGCTCTCACGGTCGGTCCTCTGAGGACATAGCTGGTTTTCCCTTTCTTCCCTGGATTTGAATCCCCCACCCCCACAGCCCCCACGCCCTGGCAGGCTGCTGGCCCTCACATGCCTCTTCCTCTCTCCTGTAGGAGACAGAGGAACTGGAGGAGGAGAAGTCAGGCCTGCAGAAGGAGATCGCCGAGCTGCAGAAGGAGAAGGAGAAGCTGGAGTTCATGTTGGTGGCCCACGGGCCCGTGTGTAAGATCAGCCCTGAGGAGCGCCGATCGCCCCCGGCTTCCCTGCGCGGTGGGGTTGGTGGAGTGGGTGCCGTGGTGGTGAAACAGGAGCCCCTGGAAGAGGACAGCCCCTCGTCCTCAACAGCGGGGCTGGACAAGGCCCAGCGCTCTGTCATCAAGCCCATCAGCATTGCTGGGGGCTTCTACGGGGAGGAGCCCCTGCACACCCCCATCGTGGTGACCTCCACGCCCGCCATCACTCCGGGCACCTCGAACCTCGTCTTCACCTACCCCAGCGTCCTGGAACAGGAATCGCCTGCGTCTCCCTCCGAGTCCTGCTCCAAGGCCCACCGCAGAAGCAGTAGCAGTGGAGACCAGTCATCGGACTCCTTGAACTCCCCCACTCTGCTGGCTCTGTAACCCAGCTCCCAGGGGGTCCTCGTCACTGCCTCCTTCCCAGGGACCAGCACCTGCAAGTGCTCCAGGTCTGTGAGGGCAAGAGGGGGACCCTGCCGGAGAGCTTCCTGGCTCTGGGGGGACCGAGGCGGGATTTGGCAATGAGGCACTAGACGACTCGGATGATCTCTTGGAAGTCATGGGGCCTCCTCCGTCGTTTCTCTGGCAAAACGTTAATCCTGTTTCTTGAAAAGTCTTGGAGAACGTGGCTTAGTGGATTCGGGCACCTCTGGCTCCCGAAGAGCCTGAAGCTGGCGTGGACCACTCCTGTCCCTTCGTTAGGAAATGTCACTGGAGTGATGGTGTCCTTCCCCACCCCACCAAGCATGCTCGGGGCCTATGGGTTTCACCTCCCCTCTATTTGCCCCTTTCTCCCCCCAGTGTCAATTTCACTTCCTGTTGGTTTTTATCCAATTTGCCATGACATTTCATCTGGGTGATCTGAATATTAAAGCTCTTCATTTCTGGAGATGGGGCAGCAAGTGGCTCTTCTGCTGGGACTGACTTGTCCAGAAGGAGACAGTCAATGTGCAATACAGAATCTCCCTCCCCCGACACTCCCCCGTCCACTACCATCTCCAGAACCACCAGCAGAGCTTCCCGAGCTCTCAAGGAGATGCCGCCATCACTGGGAGGCTCAGAGGACCCTTCCTCCCATCCTTGGAGACGGCTCTTGGAGGAGCGGCTTGGCCAGAAGAAAGGGTGTGAGCGAGACAGCCGGGGCGCAGGTTGGGTTTGCCAACACCTAATTACCAGGCCAGGAATAGTGCCAACGAGCCCCATTGTGTCCTAGCCGGCTTCCCTTCACCTGGTGTCTTGAACAGGACGTCTCCTCTAATTACTGCCTCGCCATTCTGCCCCTGGACCCTTCTCTCCAGACCAGGGAGGCACCTCTCCCTAGGAACCACACATCACTCCACGTCCCTGCCGGCTCCACCCTCCCCCACCCTGGCTCTCAGGGTGACGCCACCCACAGAGGTTTAATGAGCGTGGGCCTGGACCCTCCCCAGATGGCTGCCAGGTGGCCCCTCCCCAAGCCTCAAAGCCACCTTCGCTGTGGATGGAAAGGCAGGGCAGGGAAGAGGGGGGCGATTGGAACGGGGTTCGCCTCACATCAGCCCTGGCCCCCGCCTTGCCCTGTCCTGGCTGCTCACCTCTCTGAAGTGCCCATTGTCACCGGCTGGATCAAGTGCTTTCTCTTTATACTCTCCCAGCCCCTCACATCAGTGTGCTCCTCAGGTCCACCAGCTGGCCCAGAGTTGTTGCTGTGGCTTGTGACGTATTCTCCATTCCTGGGGGCCGCTGAAATGGAAGCTAAGATGTGTTGCTTCCCACTGAAGGAGCGCCGGCCCCTTCCCACAGGTGGGGGTGGGGTGGGGAAGGGGTCCTCCTGGCCCCACAAGAGCACAGCTCAGGGGGGTCCCTGCCTCCCACCCCTCTGAGCCTTTCTTTCTCCCCAGGACATAGCTCCCCTGATCTTCCAGAATTCGTTTCTGCTGGGCTCGTGCTCTGAGGGAGACACCGCTGTTGTGATTCAGCTGTAGAGATTATTGTATGATAATTTAAAACTACATAACTGTTATTTAAATCAGACCCAAGGGGGGTTAAATTTCAGTGAGACTCGGGAGAGAGCAGTGACATTTAAAGCTCACCTGTTCCTTTCACATACCTGGGCTTCTGTGCTGGTCATTATTTAATGTCCATTACCTTACTTACCATGCACTAGACGCACAGAATGGAATGGCTTATGCTTAAAATACATAGCCCGCTACGACTGGTGACGTGTGAAAGATGGGCCACGTAGAGAGAAGGAGATTAAAAGGAAAAAGATTTTGTCCAAAAATGCTTTTAAAATGTGATTTCCTACATTTCTTGGCTGTGGTGCTGCCATCACGGTTTTCTGTGGCTCTGGGAGAGAAGGGCCTAATAGGAATTGGCAGTTGGATTTCTGGCTTCAGATTAATCAAGGAAGCAGAAGAAGTCAGCCAGCAGGCGATGGGCAAAGAAAACGGGTGCACTCAGCTCTGAAAAGCTTAATCATCTCAAATGGTATTTGTGGCCACGTGGGGCTATTTGCTTCTTTGTGCGCATATATATATATATATATATATATATATATATATATATATATATATATATATATATATATGTTTCTGAAGCTGCTTTCTGGTGTTTAGTTTCTAAAAGTCGCTTTATGCCCCGGTTTGTACAGCACTGCTCCCGAGGCAGGTCCCGGTCTGCGACTTGGGGCCAGGCTGGATGTTTCTGAGCTAGTGTTTGGCTTTTGTTCCGACTAGAGCTGTGTTGGCTTTGGGACCCGCGGAAGGCAAAACCCAGCTGCCTCGCAGCACTTCCGAGGCCTCCAGCTGCGTTCCCACTCGGGACCCTCTGGCTTTGTTCTAGGAGGTGGCTTGGAGCTTGGGGAGGGCTGACTGTTACGCCTAAATCATGAGCATGTCCTCAGTTACTTCCTGCTGGCTGGCTTTCGGAGTCCACGCGCACACAGGTTGCTCCAGAATCGCCAGACACCAGGCCTGCTGCTTCCTCTTCCATGGCTCCAGCTAAGGGAACAGCTGTCATGGGGCGGGGTGGGGGGTGGGGCGGAGGAGGCCTCGGCGCTTGGGCTGGGAACTGCTGTGCTTCCCCTGTGTCCCCAGCAGTGAGGCAGCTGGTGTGGACATCAGTTGGGCTGCAGGCAGCTGGGGGACAGCACAGGGCAGTCATTCCTTGACAAGCTAGTGTGAAACACGCAGTCTTCTTGGCCACCTGGCTGGCCTCTCTGAGAACAGTCCTCTTCCTGGCTGGGTGGATGGGGACAGCTGCTGACACAGGAAAGAGAGAGGGCCCAGGTGAAGCTTAGGAAATGGCCGGAGCCAGCTCTGAGCAGGGAATTCACTGGGGAGGTTTTCAGAGGGAAATGATTGCTCTGCCTGTGTAAAAGGCCAGGTGCATCCACTGCGGCCAGGCACACAAGCATCTCAAAGCCAAGAGCCATCAGATGCTGCTGCTCTTTCTCGGGCTTTGGGGAAAGGAGTTTCCTCCCTGCTCCCACTTGGCTCCAAGTGTAAGGGTGGGCTCACCTCCATACACATTTGGGACTTTTCTACCCTGTCCTTGGTGGACCAACAGTGCTCCTTGCAATCTCACCATGTAACTTCCAGGTCGATTTCCTTCCTGATCAGATAGATACCTGTGTGGCCCCTTTAAGAAAGTAAAGAACAAGCACCTATTATGTGCCAGGCACTGTGTTAGGCACTTTTATATACTTCCTCTTTGGGATAAGACTAAGGGATAAGGACATCCTTTATTAAAGGACCCCAGGAAATGGATAAACAAAAACTTGGAGGTGAGAAGATCTGTCTTCAAAAATCTGAGGCAAGATTGTCTTTAGTCCAAGGTTTGTCTCAAAAGACCCATCCACTACAATACCCTCCCATCTCTAAATTTCTTTTTTCCCTCTACCCAGTCATGTGCTCCTCTGCACTCCGCAGATGGTTGGAGGGGTAACAGTCCTTATAGAATTTGTGGACCAATAGGATATGTAGTATGTGTAACTTGGTTTTGAAAATGTAAGTAAAGGGGTCTTGCTACTTTCTGCTTGTTGAGTCTTCTTGGCATTCATCTTAAAAGCCAGCATCTCACTATTTATTGACAGGTTGGGGTATGTGTGTGTGTGTGTGTGTATGTATGTGTGTGTGTGTGCATGTGTGTGTATGCATGTGTGTGTGTACATTTCCAGGTGTGCCCATGTCCTCCTGCAGCTTTTAAAAAGGAATTCCAGTCATCCCACTACTAATTTGACATCTTCTCATGCTTCTAGTGTTTTGGCCAGACATCAACAAAGGGTTTTAATTTCCCAATGCTGACATGTTCAGGAGGGGCTGGGTCAAATTTTGAGGGGGGGGGTATGGGAGGGGGAGAAAAAAAGTCGACATTTATTTTATTATTTATTTTAAATGTTTACATCTTTTGTGTTGTACCAAGCCTGAATAGAAACAGATAGCATTAAAGTACTCAGTTCCTCTCTCCCTTTCTTCCTTATTTTTAAAAAAGTTAGGCTAATGATGCTTTTTACTTTGTTTCTAAAATGATTTGTGACTTGTGCTGTATAAACTGTATAAAAAGGTTCTGTTTTTAAAGATGATTGTCATTCCGCTGGGGACAGTGGTCACCAGGAAGTCTACATTGTAAGAGAACACAACGAAAGATCCTGCCCTGTTCCTTAAAACTTATTTTCTCTGTATGATTAAAAGTTTATTCCAGTTATTTCAGTTTGTGGTTACTTGATATCAAGGAAGAAAATGCTCACCTTTGTATAAAGAGTTAGATATCAGGGTGTCTGTTCTGCAGCGGGAGATGTATATATAGTATTTTGGTGTATAGTGGAAAATCCTAAGCTTTTTGCATCTGTATTTGAGATATGTCAATGATGTGGAGTAAAGTCTGCTCTAAGATCCTGGAGGCAAACAACTTGTACAAGATTCCTATAGCCCTATGGGGAATTGAATTACCTTCCTGAGCTTTTTTTTTTTTTTTTTTTTAAAGTATAGGTGAAATGGTCCCATTGGAAAGGCTTCTAGTTAGGCCTCTCCAGGCAGGACCGTGAACTCAAAAAATCTTTGTATAGTTTTGAAAATTGAGGACTATCTCTGCTCTGAAACATCTCTGATGGTGTTTTCTGTTCTTGTTCGGTTTTGTTATTTTACTGTAATACAAGCCTACAGTACTTGCACTAAAGAAAGCTTGTTAGGAAAAGCTTGCTGCTATGGAAGAAAGAACATATTAAAACTTTTTTTTTTCTTTGCATTTTTTTTTTTTGGTTAGCTTTTCCACTTTCAATTGAGTAGCATTTTGTAGAATAAAATGAATTAAGATTGAAGAGCCTCTGATGGTTGGTTTATTCCATCTTGTCTCTCCTGTCACTTTTCCTTCTAGTACTTTCTACTTTTGGCTTTGTGGGTAGAGTTGGTGTCTAGTGGGTGAGGGAAGCAGGGAATGACTTGCTTGGAACCTCTTTCTGCAAAACTGTGAGGTGGGCTGCTGGGAGGGGCTTAAGAGTCCCCTCCCCTCCTTTCTCATGCCTTTCTCCTGTCCATCATCTCCCAGCCCCTCCCCTTCCTGTTTCCTACTTCTCAGGGCCTGATTCTCAGCTAGCTGCCAACGACCACCAAGGTGTGAACCAATAAAAATTCAAGGTGCTGTCCCTTTCTGGGGGTATTTTGTTTGAACAGGTCTCTGGAAACCCAAGCATCTTCAAAGAACCAATTAAAGGTATCACTCAGGTTCTCCAGGTGGTCGCATGAACTCATGAGCAGGAAAGGGCCCGGAAAGGGCCCTGAAAACAACCAAGCCATGCAAATACGTGGAATGGTCACATCCTTAGATTTCCTTTTTGAATGGCCACAGGTTGTTAGGTGCGGAACACGCAGAAATGTCAGCCCCCATTGGCCGGTAGACCAGGAAACCCGGACAGGTGGGGAACATTGTTCCGAGTGCTTGTCCCTGGCAGAGTAAATGGTAGGGAGGCATATCAGCCATTAGGTAATGCTTGTAGTGGTTGGCAGCTGGCTGAGAGGCCCAAACCAGACACCACTTCTCCAAATCTTTAGACAAGCTGTGCGCGCAGGCTTCATTCTCTGGAGGACCTAAGAGCACAGGGCTGTGAGTCAAAGGAGCCCTGAATCCTAGGCTGCCCCCGCTACTCATTGGCTTTGGAGAAAGCCACTTAACCTCTCTGAGCCTTAGTTTTCTTGTCTGTCAAGGGAGAGAAGGTAACGCTAGTATCATGAACAGCCACATCTGAGGGGTTATGATACCTCCCCCTTTTCCCTTTGAGAGGACCTGGGCACTGGGGAGCAGGGCAGTCGGAGTCTCAGCATCGGGCCTCCTAGTGACCTCTTCCGCCTGAGCAGACTACGCAGAAAGTCGGGGGCGTCTCAGTAGTACCTGTGCTTTCCTGAGCCACTGATGTGTCTCCTTGTGTCATAGTGTCAAGGAGGCCGGTAGCTATAACGTTCACATCAGCTGCTGCAGGCCTCAGGGATTATGCTGTCTGGAGAAGCCTGTGCTCATGTGTCTATGCTTGCCTCTCATGTCTAGGCGCTTCCACAACATGTTTTGTCTTCCAGTAACACTTCGAAATCTGCTTCTCTGTTAAAATTTCCACCGCTTCACCCCCATGGCAATTAGGGAGGTCGATAATCACCGGGCACTTATTACAAGGAGTCCTAAGCAGTCCTGCTGCTTTGTGAAGCTATTAAATGCCTTAAATGCATCTGGACAGCTTTTTCAGTCTTTCCTTGAGTAAAACAATAAGGGGCCACCTCTTTTGGGTTCCCAAACCTAACAGGGTCCATCAGGGCATTTTGCAGTCACCTCTGAGTCTGGGCTGTCTTGGTCCAAACCCATTCAGGGACCTGAATTGGTGGCCAACTCTACTGATTACATGTCCAACAGAGTTGGAGCTTTAGGGATTAAGCAGAGTCCTCTCCTTCAGGAGAAATGTTTTGGCAAGGGATTGCTAGGACTATCCCTTCCTGCTGCACCTAGAGTTCCCCGAGTGAGCACAACTTTGTCACTAGGCTTTCTTTGTTCATGGGACCGCGGATTTCTCCTGGAGCCAGTATTTTCCAAGGCGTTCAGCAACATTTGTCTCTTGGGCTACTGAACGAGGCCATGTCTGTGAAGGCATATGAGAAGTGCTAAAATAAGGAGGAAACTTAGGTGGTTAAACCCCACAGACTTTGGTTATAAAGTCAAGTAATGCAACTTGATTATGGTACAGCTAGTGGGCTCTGGCTCGGGAGCCATGTTTGAAATGGTAGGGTGTGATTTCCCTTTGGGCGCTATGTGTTTATAAAGGATGGATGGGGAGCTTGGATGTGGGCAGCCTGGCCGGTGCTGGCCCAGGGCCCCGCCAGGCCCACAGGCAGCGGGTCCCAGCGAGGAGGAGGGCTGATGGCCTCCCCTCCAGCCAGCCTCGCACCTGATCTGGATGCTGCTGTCACACCTGGGCCTTGCTCTTGCTGACAGAGTCTGTTCCTCCCCTGACAAGTCAACAAAAGGACTGTTTTCTGAGAAGCCGCGAGCTGTTGAGACAGGTCCACCCCCTTCTTTACAGTCAGCCTTTGGTTTTGTAGGACCTGCCTGGAGTGGAGAGAAACTGGAGCCCGTGACTCTGCCCTTCGTACAGAACCTCTCCTTCCCCTCCACTGGGCCCGGGGGGTCAGACGCCCCAGGGAAGCTGTGGGGCTCTATCCACACTCGGCGAGTTGTTGTTTCTGCAAAGTTCCACTTGTGTAAAGGAAAAAGACAAAACAAAACAAAAAAAACCTGCTTCAGGCTCCACCTCTAGAACTAGAAAGCCCTTAATCAAACTAAACACCTTCCCAAGTCCTGTGTCACCCAAAGGAGAAACAAAATGTTTGGCCTGCTTTGTAGTGGTGCTCAGCTAAGTGTCTCTGGGGACACTTTGAGGACATAACCCTGCATATACATGAGGGACCCTATTCCTTATCCAAAAACAAAGTAAATAGTGCTGTGGGACCTTAGACCTGGGGCTGCTCTAGAACATAGCACTGCCTTGTCCTGCGGGGCATTTAGAAAGGGGTGTGGTATTTAGGCGATGTGTAATGTTTTTTATTGGGGTGAGATTCACATAACACAAAAGCAACCATTTTAAAGTGAACAATTCAGTGACATTTAGTACTATAGTCACAGTGTGGTACAGCTGCCACCTCTGTCTAGTTCCAAAACATTTTCATCACCCCCCAAAGGAAACCCTGACCCATTAAACAGTCATTTCCCATTGCCCCCTCTCCAGTCCCTGGCAACCACCGACCCTCTTTCTGTCTCGATGGGTTTATATTTAGGGAGTATTTTTAAGGATCCCAATGGCTCTATTTTCTGAACTAAAAACAATCATGAAACATTAGCATGGAAAATAACCTAACAGCTATGAATAGCAATATAGTTTCCTCCTTATTTTAGTGCTTCATAGATTTCCTAGGCCTTCACATTTGTGGTGGTGTTCAGAAGTCCAAGAGACCGTCGCTGAATGTGTTGGCAGTTATCAGCTGGGGGAGAAATTCCTTTTCCCTTACACAGTGGCATGTCTGGTACTCTGGCAAATATAGTGACTCCCCTGATCTGCTGCATAAGGCCTGCATTTGTTTCTCAAGCAAAGATGGAATAAACCTGAAAAGACAGACTTTGTTCGCCGATGAAAACAGACACCTTTTTCATGTTGTCAAATAGGAGAACCACGTTTAAATTAATTTTAAAAAATGAATGTGAAGATGAAGACTGTCACCGTCATATCCTTATGGGTTTGAGGAAGAACATCTCTCATTTATTCAAAACTATTTTTGTGTCCCTACGAAGTACATGACACCATGAAAGTCACTACTGGGGACACCGTTGTATAAAACACTATTTATACAAGTGTTATATGAGGCAGCCCTGCTTCACCGTCAGATGTTTTCATTTGAAATATCAATTAAGTACACATTAGAAGCTTCCCTCAAGGAGGTTACAATCTGATAGGAGTGGAAGAACAGGGAAGGTAGACATTTATGGGGTTTGGCCTGTGGCGAGTGGGGGGGTTTCGGAGGCGATGCCGCAGGGGAAGGGGCCCCGGGCTGGAAGGAGCAGTGGAAGTCTGTACACTGTACACGATGGAGTGGAGAGCAAGCAGGCCCTGCAGAGGGAACAGTCTGAGCAAAGGCCTGGTGGGAGAGGCAAGTGTGAGGCATCTCTGGGAACCAGAAAGGAGCCCCCAGTACCTGGAGCCTGGGCTGATTTTAGGGGATGATAGAAAGTTAACCTGAGCTCTTGAAGGCCTTAATGACAGGCTTGAATCTTTCCATCCGTCAGTCATTCCAAAGTTGTGTCTATTTGTGCCAAGCACTGTCCTCCCTGCTGGGGAGATAGACGTGATAAGGACACACACACACACACACACACACACACACACACACACACAGCTGCCATCACTAATGGGGGTTGGAACAAGTAATTACAAGTGCACTGGGTCTCTCAAAGAAGATGTATAAGGTGTCATGGGTGCAGGTACCACTGGAACTTTCCCTAATCTGGGAGGTGGGGGGGTGGGGGGACAGTCTTCTCAGAACTAATGGTATTTAAGCTGAGACCCCAAAAGTAAACGGAAACAAGAGCTTTATTTTGAGATATTGGGAGTTTCAGAGGGGATATGAATGGGAGGGGAGGTGTCATGGCCACAGTCACCTTCTGGGAAGATTAATGTAGGGGTGAGGGGTTGTGGAGGAAGTAGACCAGGGTCTGGGAGTCTGTGAGGAGGCTCTGCCCACAGCCCAGGGAAGAGCCAGAGGTAGCAGTGGGGTCAGCAGGGCAAGAAGGTGCCCCTGGAAGTCCAACATGTCTAATTCCAGGAATAAAAACTGTAAGCAGGAGGAGCTGGGTGAGGGAGGGGAGGCCTAGGTCCCGAGTTCAGTTTTGGCATACTGTGAGGAGCTTGCTAGATTTGCAGGTGTGCACATGCCTGGCGGTGCGAAGGCAGGCCTGGAGCTTGGAGCAGGGGACTCAGGTTAGGAATTTCCTTCTGGAGAAAATCACAGAACCTTGCAGATTGGTGCCACCATGGGCCTCAGCGTTTGTGTTTTCCTGGCCAGTTCTCTCTCTTATTCCCCAGAAGGGGTGCTCAGACTGCTTCCTCTCTCTCTCAAACCTTCCCCCAACCCCCTTGCTCTCCACAGATGACATCACCTCCCACTTAGTAGAAAACAGAGGCCATCAGAAGGGGATCTCCTCAACCTGCTATTGCTAAATCCTCAAACCTATCTCCTTCTTCTTGGGGACCCTTGTCAATTAGCTTTCTCCTCTTCTTCTTTTGTGGCTGAC